GGAAAAGCTTTTAGCCTCATGCCATTTATTATGATGTGGGCCATTGGTTTGTCATAAATGGTCTTTATCATGTTGAGGTAAAGTCCTTCTATATTTATTTTCCTCAGTTTTTTTTTAATCACAAATGGATGCTCAAGTTTTTCAAAAGCTTGTTCTCTATTGAGATGATCATGTGACTTGTCCTTGTTCTGTTTATGCATTATGTTTCATTTATTGATATGCATATGTTGAACTATCATTGCATCCATGGGGGAAAAACTGACATGATCATATGATCCTTTCGATGGTTTGGTACTAGAAATAGAGTTTGGCACCTTGTGCTTGCCAGGCAGGTGCTTATGCCACTGAGCTATATACCAGGCACTATTTGCTAAATACCATTCTTGATAGCACCAGGAAAAAGTTAAATACTTAGCAATTAAGCTAACCAGAGAAATGAACTATCTCTTCAAAAATCATAGAACTCTGAAAAACGAGATCAAAGAGGATATCAGAAAAATGTAAAGATTTCCCTTGTTCCCAGACAGAACCAATATTATCAAAATGGCCATACTTTCAAAAGTGATATACAGATTTAATGTAATATCAGTCAAAATACCAACAGCATTCTCTACAGAACTGGAAGACAAATTAGGTAAAACTCTTACATAGGGATAGGCAAGGACCTTCTAAATAGAATCCCAAGTTGATCCCCTGCACCACATGTCTTGCTGGCCCCAGCCCTGGGGCATGCTGAGAAGGCAACTGAGACTGGGCATGGTGGTGGTCACCTGTAATCCCAGTGCTTGGGAGGCTGAAAACAGGAGAATCACTATGAGTCCGATTTGTGTAATGAGACCCTGTAGACCCTGTACTAAGTACTAAATATATTAAAATAAATAAATAAACCCCAAGTGCACAAAACATTACATTAAGAATCAACAAATGAGATTGTATCAGATTTTTAAATTTCTGCACAGCAAAGGAAACATATATCCACATTTGTAGAATTACAACTCAAAATAACTAAATCCTGGAAGTTGCCTATATAGCCATCAACAGTCAAATGGATTTTTTAATGTGATATTTATACATAATGGAACATTACTAAAAAGGACAAATGTGAGTCACTTATACAAAAATGGATGCACCCTGACATCAACATTACATGAAATAAATCAGACACACAAACGTAAATGCTCTATGGTTTCTCTTATATGAGACAATGAAGTATAAGTACGTTAAAGAGCAAAATAATAGATAAAAGAAAATAGAGATAAGTGTTCTGCAAAGGGGAATGGGAACAAGAGAGGGAGGGAGGAAAGAGGAAGAGGGGGAAAGAGTACCTAAAAAAAGATGCGACGTGCACATGAACCAAATACCCACAAAGAAAGCAGTCGTTATTTATCAGAGACATGGACTAATAAGAGACACTTATACTAAATGACTCTAAGTGCACACACACTACTACATTGGTGTTCATGTCTATTTTTATGCCAGCATCACTCTGCCTGGATTACTATAGTTCTGTAATAAGATCTGAAATTAGAAAATGTAAGTTTGTCAACTTTGTTCTCTTTTGGCTAAGCAACTGGCTATTAATAAACAAGTTAGGATTTCTGGTATAGAAGAGAAACAAAAGATAAAAACTTCCTTCAAGTATAAAGTTACTAATGGTCTGTAGGCAAGCAGTGACTTTTTAAAATAGTTAGATACCAACAATGAAAAGAAGGAAAGGAAATTCGGAAGAAACAGACTGTTGCATGCAAGCAATAGTTCACAATAAAGGAATAATCATTACAGATGGTAGGGCCGGCCAGATAGCTCAGCAGACTAAAGCACCCGCTTCGACAGAGCGCAGCAGCCAGGGTTTGATCTCCAGTGTGCTGTGCTGGCCCCAACCTGGGATGCGCTGAGACAGAGGTTAAGACTGGGAGTGGTAGCACACGCCTGTAATCCCAGCCACACCTTCAAAGAAGTAGACTTAATAGATTTCTACAGAGTGTTCCACCCTACAACACTTGGGAGGCTGAAAACAGGCGATCACTATGAGTCTGATCTATGTAGTGAGACTCTGTAGACCCTGTACTAAATACTTTTTAAAATTACAGACTGTGAGGACAGCAGCCTACAATCAACACAGATTTCTCTCCCAACTAGTTTAATCAGATAAGATTATCAAATGATTTTGGTAGTTTTTCCTGCCTTACCTTGTATAAACAACTAATCCAACTAAATTTTTAGACACTTCCTCTCGGAAACATTCATCCGTAAGATGTTTATTCTTTTTGTCTATTATTTCATCATAAGCACTTTTTAAGTGGAGCACTTTATGGCAAATATCAGAACACAGGGTAAGATTCTGTTCATACGGAAGGATAGAAGTCACATAACCAAGCCAGGTTTCCACCCTACAACAGAGAATATTAAGCCTAAGATCAACATAAAAATCCAATGCTTTTAGGGTCTGAGTTCTGGATCTAAAACAGGCACTTAAGGAGTCAACTGATCTCACGTTCTTATTTTAGTAGTAGCTGATCTTTTGAAGGATCCTCAAATAAAGATTACTTATAAGCAATTCATTATCTTTGATAAACTTATCACCCACTGCTTTAATGTATCACATCCATACATACCTATAAATTTTATATGTAATATATAGGCCAACATGTAATGTAGATACCTATATTTAATTGCTACAAAAATATGTTCAAGCAAAGACAATGTTTAATGCTTATACAAAGAGCGAATACTTTAAGTTTCTAATGGTAAGATTTTTAACGTCCATCTTTTTAAATTTACAATAAACAATGATAAATGTTTATGGGCAAAGGGTACACTTTTGCTACTTTTACACATTACTTGAAATGAGTATCTTTCTCAAAAAATTATACAATTAACCTTGTAAAATTCTGTATTTTCTATGTTATACAAACCTTGAGTCATAGAATGTCTTTCTCTCCCCTTTGTCATAATAGTTGCGACCAATTTGTGTCAGATTCATCAGCTTCAGAATTCTAGAAATTCAAAGATTAAGATTTGTTAAAAGGACAGTGAATATTACAAAGCATTTGTTAACACATATAAGAATACATTAGGAAAGCAGTCTATCATCGACTATTTTTACACTGTCAACACAAAATCAGTTACATGATAAGTTGCATAAGATATAAAGTTTCGACTGGGCATGGTGGCACATCCCAGCACTTGGGAGGCTGTAACAGGAGAATCACTATGAGTCTGATTTAGTAGTGAGACCCTGAATACCCCTCAGACTCTTCCCTGAATACAAAAAAAAAAAAAAAAAAAAAAGGTTCATTTTACTTCCATTTATCTGTCTTTTCTCATAAAACAAAGATAAGCAGAATATATATTTTATACTTCTCCCAAAACTAATTTAAGATAGCTTTTGCAAATCACATGTCCTAGTTGTTAATTTTTCATATTGAGTCTTCACAGTGTAGAAAACAATTTTATGTGCTTCCACAAGTATACATGGATGCACACAGCTGACATCTGCTACTCCTTCCCAACAGGTACCAGTTGCAGAAAGTACAGGACGGCAGGATGGATAAATGCTAGGGACAACCCATTATATGCGCACACTGCACAAAATTTGCACATTGTTCAAACATCATTTCACCTCAAAACACCTTCACTCTTTCCCCACAATAGACTGTTAACAAACATAATGAAACACAATGCAATCTCAAGGGAACCAGAGCTTAACACACCTTCTAAAGAAAATATTGTAATAGCGCAGGCAATCTGGCTCTGTAGAACTAAGTTGTCTGGAAAACTGGAGTGTTATCTTTACCATCCTTCCTTTTAGGAGGGAGAGGTAATTTTCCATATTCTAAGATTAAAACAAAAAAGGTCCAAATGTTCTTCCAAGAAAATTTAAATTCTTCTAGATTATAGGTCACCACGCACTTGGCTACCCAACCCATCACTACTGGGGGATTAGTCTTTCCCGCAAAGTGCAGGGGTGAAAAGGAAAGGAAAGAAAATGTCAAACAACATTACTTAACAGGAAGCCTTTTAGGTAACAATAAAGAGTTTCCATCAAATATATGACATCTTCCAAAACTCTTTTCATGTAGCAAAAGTAATTTTTCACGGAGCTTTACATCTTTTATGTTTGGCTTGTAGACAACGTTGTGCTTATATGCAGTCCATGGGAAAGAAACTGCAAAATGGTTTGCTAACAATTCTATCTCATTACCTTCAGAACCTGAGAAAATGAAGCACATATCAACAACAAGTAACTGATGACAACCAAAACAATTTGGACACTACAATACTGAGAGCCAGTGACAGGTCAAACATGGATACAAAACAAAATAGCATTTGCACATACCATATAGCTAGAATGTATATCAACTTAGCTAAACCCAGATGTAAGCATATATTTAGACAGTTTAAATATATGATTCAAATGTTTTTAACCCGAAGAGTAGCTCAAAACCCAAGCCTTCCCAATTTCTGAAGGAAAAAAAAAAGCTACTATTTGTAACAATGTTTATTTTTTTAAAAAAATCTTAGGGCAACCAAAGAACTGGGTCTTTCTATTTCAGGGGCTATGAAAGGCAAAGAAATACATAGTCTATTTAGAACTCTATAATAGATTGACATTTCTACACAAAGGAATGTTATTACAAAAACATGGAGAATGAGGTATCTCTGCAAACAATGATATGAAGCATTACAGAACTTCGTGTTATTTTTCAATCAAAAGTTTATAGCGGGGGCTGGTGAGATGGTTCAGTGGTCTAAAGCACCTACTCAGAATAAGTTTAGCAAAGCACAGGGACCACAGTTCAATCCCCCAGCACCACATGCCAGCCAGCCCCGCCCCCTGGTGGGCTGAGCTGGCCACACACAAATAAATAAATAAATAAAATTTAAAAAAATAAATAAATAAATAAAATTTATTTGATTAAAAAAAAAAGTTTATAGCGGGCAGCTTTATAAAACTTGATGCATGTCAGCATACCTGTTTTTGAGTTCCTAACATGTTCCAAGTTCCTCCTTGTATTCACCACAAGGTCCTGAAAAATTCCAGCTGGATACCTGGACCCCACATCTAATGCCTGCAATCCAGCTATGAGCGGACGCTGTTCTACATAGGTTAAACATACAAGCCACAACGTTATGCAGTAAAAACAGAAAAGCACAATGGATAACAGTGAACTCCCGGTGATTACAGAAAATCAGTCTAAGTCATATGAAAGGAGAAAAGCTGACGCTAAAGGATCCAAGCATTTCAGTGATGGGTTACCAGCAAAGGGGGTATTACCAAGAAATCTTTCCCAAGGAGTCTGCAGGCTTCATCAAGGGATTACCGTGGCTCTTCACCCATTCTTGCTACTGTATTTCTCCTGTTTTACTAGGATTTGCTCACAGTACAAGATTCTAAAAAACCATGGTTCTGGCTCTCCATCCTCATGAGCCCATTCCCACAGAACCACTCTCATGTGCATTAGAAAACACCAAACAATCAACAATCTCAAAACATTTCATGTAATTGGCCTTTGATGCAGAAGGACTGACCTACCCTTTATATTGAGAGCAACTGGGAAAAAACTCATTTTATTGCATGTTATTTGAACACTTATATAAGCTTAAATATTTATTCTAGACATTATTTGAATGAGAATGTGCAAAGCAACGTTTCTAGAAAGATACCTTGTGTAAGAAAGAATGTTTATCTATAAATCCCTATCCTTGAATGACTAAGAACAACCATGTTTGGATTACGAACATGGTTTTCCTTAAAATAGTACTTCTGAAAGCTATGATTTCGAATGTATGATGATCTTATATCGTATGAGTTTCTACGACAGAAAAACTAACTACATTTAGAATTACATCAAATTCTCAGCTAGTTCCTGACATGACGTACAATCAAAACTAAATCAGATTAAGATTTCAGTGAAAGAAAACAGGCATCACTTATCGAGCTGTTCGATAAGTGATAAACTATCGAACACTAAGTACTTTCTGACAATCTTTAATCACAAGAGAAGTGATAGAAGTGTGTTTCAAATTTATGCATTCAAATTTACAATGCCGGGGGACCTGCCCCTCAGCTCAGTTATTTAAGTGCCCGCTTAAACAAAGCAGTCAGGCTCAGATTGCTGTGGTTCAATCCCCAGAACTCAAGCCAGCCAAACCTGCCCTGAAGGCATTCTGAGTCAGCCCCCCCCCCCGCCCCCCCCAAAAATCCTTCTGCTATTAAAAACAAAACAAAACAAAATTTACAATGCCATCTCATGGGTTCTGGATTTTGTAACAATTTGTTATTAAATACTTGCCTACTTTTTTAGTATTTAAAGTTTTGTTCTATCACAAGTTATGTTGCTATAAGAAAGGTGAGAAGAGTACATTAACCCAGTCCTTGGCAAATTACAACAGTGGAGAACCGCATCACCCATAACACTAAGGACTGAATCACCCATAAGGATACTACAATACAGGAAAGCACTGAGATGATGAAGAAGCTATTGGACCTTTTGAAGGCAAGAAAGCAACATCCCTAGGATTCCTAATTATTTTGGGTTTACAATATACAGATGTAATATTTTATCTAAATTTGAGAAGCAATAACATTTTAGATAAATCTAAATTTGAGAAACAATATTGAACTGAAAATGATCATTTTCCCATTATAAAAAAAAAACACTCTTCCTTGTGTACATACTAAGAACTAAAGCAAGCTTATTTCTACCTTTTTTAAAAAATTTTATATTTGATACAGGGTCTCACTATGCAGCTCAGACTCCTAGTGATCCTCCTGTCTCAATCTCCTCAACGCTGGGATTACAGGCTTAAACCACCACGCCTGGTCTTGGTGATCAGCTCAGCTTGGGGGCTGGAACAGCATGTGGTGCTGGGGATCAAACCCCAGTTCTTACGCACTTGCCTAGGTGCGTAGACCGCTGAGTTATCTCCACGGCCCCAAGCTTATTTCTAATTGCTAAGCTAATTTTTCAGGGTATTTTCACTATTATTTAACAGCTGGACAGTTTTAAAAGATCAATGGATTTGCTTAAGACCACAAAACCAGAGTGATAGACGTTGAAGTAGAATCTTCTCACACTTCCACCATTGGTTCAAAATCCTGCAACATTCAAGTTTCCGTGTTTTCTCTCCTGGAATTAAGATATACATGCCAGCCGGCATGATGGCGTACACCTGTAAAGCTAGCACTCTTGGAGACTAAGGTAGGAGGGTGGAAAGTTTAAACCCAACCTGGGCCATTTGGAAATTTAGCCAAATCCTGGCGGGGAGAACACGACAATCAGCTTCTTATTCAATGTCTTGCTTTACAGTCAATCAAATTCAGTATTTCAGAATCGTGTTGGGTTGTTCGGGACGTATACTGGGAATCAAAGAGCCTTAGCACTTAACTATCTGTAGCTCTATTTAAAAAAAAAAAAAAAAAAAAAAAGACGACATATTTCTGTCTGATGATTCAGT